CCTCAGTGGAATGATTGCTTTTAAATATGCAGGTGCAACAAGCTGGTTAAGAAATTAATTCACAGGAAGGCCTGTGGTGCCTGCAGGCAGTTACAAGAACACTGCAGGCAAGGGCATGCCCAGCTGGCTGTGGGAATAGCTCCCCAAGCAGTACTGAGCAGATAACCCCTTCAGCATCGTGAATATGAAACCTGAGGCCCTGGTATCTGCCTGGAGCAGGGTGTAAAGCGAAGGCGCGCTGCAGCCTCTGTGCTCACGGCCACGTTCTGCCATTTGGGGCACTCGAAAGTAACAGGCCCTGGGAGATCAACGGGACCAAGAGCCAGTGAACAAGACGCCCTGCACTGCAACACGATGATGGGCTGTGGATGCAGCGAGAACGTCACGACGAAGGCGGTCCCCTTTCACCAAGAGCCACCCCGAGACTGAAAATAAAGACATCATCAATTCCCAGGTCCTAAAAGGTACTAAAAACACGAAGTCTGAGAATCAAAGTTGGCTTAGACACATTCCTGCAGCACTGGAGGGGCTGGGGCAGGGATGGGGAGCAGGCTCAGGCAGCCGTCATCCTAGACCCCTGCATGCGGACAGCATCTCCTCTGTCCCTTCACCCTGGGCTTTGTGTCACATGAAGGTCACTGTTTTGTGCATCTGGGAGCCTCTACACATGGTCCTCCATCCATGGCCAGGTGCCAAGACATTTCTAAGTGTGTCCATGACTGAAGACACTGGGATAGGAGAGAAACCATGTTTCAAAATGACTTCCTGCCAAACACCCTTTGTTTACATAATGTGACTCTTCGATGAATCTGAAGAAGAATAAAATAGAAATGATCCAAACCTCTCGCTTTCTGACTCACAAAGCTAAGCTTTCCGTTTAGCAAGAAAAGGTTTTAGTGTAACAGAGGCAGGCAGGAGAGATGTGAGATTTACGTGGTGCCCCTTCCTGGTCCTGTTCCTCTATCATTTACACAGCAGTTTTCCACATCCTGGTTCTGAGCTCTGGAACTGCGGCTGGAGGCAGACGGCCTAAGGATCACTGCCATGATTT